GTTGGATGCATGAGACAGGGTGCTCAGGGCTGGTGCACTGGGATGACCCTGAGGAGTGGGATGGGGAGGGAGGTGGGAGAGGGGCTCAGGATGGGGAACACATGTACATCAGTGGCAGGTTCATGTCAATGTATGGCAAAACCCACCACAATAATGTAAAGTAATTCGCCTCCAATTAAAATTAATTAATTAAAAAGAAAAAAACCAAAAACATCAGCATTCAAGAACTAAGATCATGGCATCTGGTCCCATCACTGCAAGGGAAATAGATGGGGAAAAAGTGGAAGGATTGACAGACTTTATTTTCTTGGGCTCCAAAATCACTGCAGATGGTGACTGCAGCCATGAAATTAAATGATGCTTGGTCCTTGGAAGGAAAACTATGACAAACCAAGACAAGAGTATTAAAAAGCAAAGACATCACTTTGCTGACAAAGGTCCGTATAGTTAAAGCTATGGTTTTTCCAGTGGTCATACATGGATGTGAAAGTTGGACCATAAAGAAGCTGAGCACTGAAAAACTCATGTTTTTGAACTGTGGTGGTGGAGAAGCCTCTTGAGAGTCCCTAGGACTGTAAGGAAATCAAACCAGCCAATCCTAAAGGAAATCAACTATGAACATTCACTGGAAGGACTGATGCTGAAGCTGATGCTCTAATACACTGGCCACCTGATGCGAAGAGCTGACTCGATGGAAAAGACCCTGATGCCGGGAAAGACTGAAGGCAAAAGGAGAAGAGAGCGGCAGAGGAGATGGTTAGACAGCATCACCAGCTCAATGGACATGAATCTGAGCAAACTCCGAGAGACAGTGAAGGACAGGGAAGCCTGGCGTGCTGCAGTCTGTGGGGCTGCAAAGGATCAGATGCAACTAACTCTGACTGAACAACAACAAGGGCATATCTCACTTAGGGTTCTTATGAGGATTAAACAAAACCATATATGAAAACAATATAGCACTGTGTCTGGCAAATAAGTGAATGCTATTATGAGTATCTTCTTCATCACTGCTACAATTAGCTCGAACATCTGAGCAAATTATTTCACATCTCTGGGTTCAGTTTCCATGCCTGTAAAAAGGTAGTAACAACACTGGCACCATGTAGTAACGGGGAGGATTATTACATAGGATAATACACAGCTTCAAAACAGTTAGCTACTGTAATTCTTTACAGGTCACACAACACGGCACTGGCTAAATAAGCTACAATAAATGCATATGATGAAACACTTTGCTGAAAAACATCTAAGAGCATGAAAAAAATCCATAATGCATGCTAAATTTAACAAGACAGCTACAGATAGTATGGACAGTAAAATCCTTTTCTTTTGAAAATATACATATATACATTAATAGAAAAGGCAGCAAGAATATACTCCAAGATCTGCAATTTGTGGATATCAGCAACTAAACAGTTATTTAAAAAAAAAAAAAAGATACCTTATTACCACCACTACCACATCAAAAGCACTAACAAAACAATAACCCAAAACCCTACACACATCTGTGTTTAAAAAAGCAGGAGTATCCTGACCAGACACCTCCAATCCCATCAGATCATAATTAAGATTCTTCCATGAATATTTAAAAAAAGAATACTAAAACTTGTAAAATTTTAGTGGGTTAAGAAGGGAGAAGGAGGCTACCTGTCTCTAAGACACACATCTTTATTTCCCACAATTCCAGTTAAAAGCCTTCATATTTTATATTGACATAATACAAAAAATTCTCTAAAAATAGGAATGCAAGAACATTTCTACAATAGCAATTTTTCTTGGAGTGAATATTAATCTTTAAAATGAGTATTTTACAGCATAGCTGTTACTGAAGATAAATCCTATGGTTGTGTTGAGAGAATACTGTCATGAGATTAACAAAATGAAATAAAAAAAATTAGTTTCTTAATTTAAAAAAATGGACCAGCAGGCAGATTACAAGCTGGTATTCAGTAGAAGGTAGAAATAACTATCAGTGGTACTAAAATACATACATATATATGAATTCTGACTTTAAAAAAAGACATTAGATACTATACTATAAAATATTTAGTTAAGGGAAATTCCCTGGCAGTCCAATGGTTAGGACTTGGCACTTTCACTGCTGGGGCCCAGGTTCAATCCCTGGTTAAGGAACTAAAATCCTGCAAGCTGTGTGGCATGGCAAAAAAAAAAGAAATGCTACTTCAATAATTGAAGGGTACCTACGTCTTCCTATCTTCACTGCAAATTATATTTCACTTGAATAACACTTAAGCAACAGTTATACATAAATATGCAACATGCACTATTTGAAGGTGGGAAAGAAAACAGGATTCTCAAAAGGCAAAGAAACAGCCCTTTTAAACCACAGATTTTTACAGAATCTCTTAGTATCAAGCAGATTTTTCCAAGCAAAATGCACCCTTTTCTCAATCCACCTGCAAACATATGAAAAGAAAATTACTATTTTTCCCTTCTAGTGATATCAGTAAATAAGCCTCAGTAACCCAGAGAAAGATTTTATTTTCAATATTTTAATACTGACTCCCTCTGCTGTATAAAAAAGGATTCAAAAATGTCATTTCCCTTAGGATCTAATTAGGTACAATTCTTTCCATTTGTTTCCCATAAAACACAGCTTAAAAACAGATAGCTTAACAAAGTAAAATATATTATTTTGGGTTAGGACAGTAAAAATAATCAACCTCCAGAATATATCCTTCAAATCTAAATTCTTTAGTCCAGAACTTAGACAAACCTAAGAAAAGAAACACTTGCTTTACAAAAATCTAAGTATTCTTCCTGGGCCATGCTGAACAATTTAGTAACTTGAAACTTGAGGAAAGCATTTGAAGTCCGTGAACCTCAGTTTCTTTTTACCTGTAAACCTAAGAATGAAGACACCTATTACAACTCTGCAAACTTGGTAAGGCCAATGTCAGAACCCAATTTAAATTCATTCTCTGCATAATTACTGACCACCTACTCATGACATACAGTGTACAGGGCTAGGACTGCCAAATTTAGCAAATGGAATGTATTTGTATCTTAAAATTATTTACTGTATGTAAAGTTAATTGCGCATCCTGTACTTTAGGGCTTCCCTCATAGCTCAGTTGGTAAAGAATCTGCCTGCAATGCAGGAGACCAGGGTTCGATTCCTAAGTCGGGAAGATCCTCTGGAGAAAGAAATGGCAACCCACTCCAGTATTCTTGCCTGGAAAATCCCTTGGACAGAGGAGCCTGGCAGGCTACAGTCCATGGGGCTGTAAGAGTCAGAGACGACTTAGCAACTAAACCACCACCACCTGTACTTTATCTGGCAACTTTCCCTGAAGCACAGAGACACAAGTATGACAGCTTAGCTTTAGAAGACTTACAAAAAGTAAGCGAAATTAATGTATATGTAAACACACTACCATACAGGGAAGGGTAGTAGCTATGTCGCATTTAAAGAAAGGACCAAGGGGGGAAAAGCTAAGTTGGGAAAACAGTAAGAGGGCTTTGGGGAATGGTTACAATCAACAAGCACTCACAAGATTCAAAGGAGAATAAAAAATGTGACAGTACTTAGTTACAGCCTCGATTCTTGCCCCCCAGACTTGTGTAGTCACCAAATACCCTATTCCATTATACAAAGTGGAAACAGGTTTTGAAGTTATTTGCCATATTTTCACAGAAATCAATTTAAATTACTTCAAAAAGACAGGCACTAACAATCTCTCAACAGAAAGATGCACAAAAATGCCAACTCCTAATATTCTGACTTCAGTTCAGTCGCATTATTTCCCTGTCAAATCGAGTTATAGTTCTCCGCTTATTTTACCCAATATTATTAAACAAATTCTGTCCAATGTAGACAGGGCCGGTAAGACTAAAATCTTCAAGTCATCCTTTTTCTCACTTTCTGTCATCCAAACAACGGCTTCCTATCTCTGCCTCCTAAGTAAACAGCTCTGTGTGTTTCACTCTTCAAATAGTTTTAAGCAGATCATTTTTAACTAGATGCAAACACTACTGCTTCTTTACTTTGCACTTCCTGCTCCAACCCTCTGCAGATGCTTTCTTCTTCCTGTAGGCCCAGTCATCATTCTTCATGACATAAGCCAACCCTGATTCTAGTCTATCAGTGGGAAATTCACACAGCTCAAAAGTTAAATAACCAACTAAGCTGCAGGACATGTGTACAGAAAAGGTTGTAGTAATGCAAAAAATCTATTCATATCATTCTTTCTCATCATACACCCTCATGCAATCTTACAGGTGAAAGGATTTCAGACTTCAAAGTCCACAGTTCTCTCATTTTCACAAGATGATGGAAATCATGCCCTATGATCATGTGTGACTAGTCTACACTTAGAGAGCAAGCAAGGAACCAGAGTCAGATTTTTTGATTTTCAGTTCAGTATTTTTTCTGCTAAATTACACTTCTATCCTATTATACTCTCACTACATCTTCTGACTGGTAGCTGATATATTCCATGAATTTCAATTCTATTGCATATTTTTACTCTTTTTGAAAATATAAAGAAATCTATATAGTTATTCAAACTGCAATTAATTAATCCCTCATAACACAGTAATCTAAAATTCAGTTTAACTAAAAAACAAGACACCAGATTCATCTTTATAATAGTCTGCATTTTTAACTCTATAAGGAAGCGTGAGAAAAGTATTTATGTATCACAATGGACCAAACTGACAAGTTCAAGATATGAAACACTGTGAGTATCAAATTTTACAAAGACGCTGAGCATTGTATCTTCAGTGGAAACTGTTTATTGAAGCACTATACCAATCTTAATAAGCATGTAAACACTGCTGAGGTTAGATTTTTAAACTCCATTTTCCTAGAATTAGGGGAGGGGGAAAAACTATTATTCAAAAACTACCATTCTTATTTAATTTAAACATACGTGGCTAGAAGGATCTATAAGTTTACAACCACAGGGATAATTAGATGACCAATGTTCCTATATTTTGAGAAGATTACCAATGACAACCCTTTTCAATGGTCTTACCTTTGTTGAAAGTACTTTAAACGTGCTTTGCTCTGGTATTATAGGATGAAGAAGTCTCAGTTTCAAACTGTAATCCTCTCCAGAAGGAAGTTTCACCAAAGCAGACAACTAATGAACATAAAATTAGTAGCACATTTTAGAAATTAATTTAAAGAAGGGTAAAGTACTTAAGCTGACTATAATTACAGAACTTTAGTACTGTTGCAGAGTATTTTTAAAACCTTATATGGCATATAAGATTTAAGAATCTCAAAATAATCCTTTTTAAAAATCTGGTATCCTTCATAATTCAAAAAGACCCATGTACCTCAATGTTCACTACAGCACTATTTACAACAGCCAAGACATGAAAGTAACCTAAATGTGCATCAAACAGATGAATGGATAAAAATGTGATGTATATATACATATATATGGGTGTGTACACACACATACATGATGGAATATTACTCAGCCATAAAAAGGAACAAAATTGGGTCATTTGTGATGTGGATAGATCTAGAGTGTGTCATAGAGTGACGTCAGTCAGAAAGACAAAAACAAGTATCGTGTAACAAAGCATGTATCTGGAATGCAGAAAGACGGTAACAGATGAGCCTGTTGCAGGGTAGGAACAGAGAAGAAAACAGAACAGATATGTGGACATGGCAGGGGGCGGGGAAGGGAAGAGGAGGAGGGGAGACAAACTGGGAAAGTAGATTAGACATGTGTACACTGTGGTGTGTGAACAGCCAGTGGGAAGCTGCTATAGGGCACCAGGAGCGCAGCTGAGTGCTCCCGGACAATCTAGGGAGTGGTGCCCTTGGGGAAAGGCAGGAGGTTTAAGAGGAAAGGGATGTATGTACACATACAGCTGTTTCACGCTGTTGCCCAGCAGAAACTAACACTGTAAAGCAATTATACTCCCAAAATAAACAGCACTGCCCATGACAAAAAAGGGGGGAAAAATGTAAATGGACTAAATGTTCCAATCAAAAAAATAAAATAAAAAAATCTGGTATTCGCCAGACAAATTCTTATATACCTAATTAAAGAACAGAGTATGTTTCATAACATATACTATACATTTAAACCTCAAGGAAACTCAAGATACAAGGGCCAAACAGTACAGCATGCAACAAAAAAAAGCATTCTTGTGCAAAACATCTAATTCTACCACAAACTCTTAAATATCTATCACAAGGTTTTCCACTAAATGCTAAGAAACCAAGTTATTAAAAAAGTCATACTCATTTAATATGGTTAAAGTCATAACAAAACAGCAGACCTTTTCCGTTAAGTGTACCACACAAACGTGACCAAAGCATGGTTATAATGTGTCTAAACTTCCCTAATGTGTCTTTTATATTTACCAACCAAGTTCTGCTTTAAATCCCAAATCTAAAGAGGAAACAATGCACATCCAGCTATACCTACAGTATAAATACTCGTCTCAAAACTTAAAATGATCCAAATGGAAAAGCAATGCTTCAGATTTTCATCAGCATTTCCATATTATCTCAGGAAGAAATGATATATACTTGATAGATTGCTATAATTATTCTGCAATAAATATTTATTTATATTTATAATTGGAGTAGGAAATGGCAACCCACTCCACTATTCTTGCCTGGAAAATTTCATGGACAGAGGAGCCTGGTGGGCTACAGTCCCTGGGGTTGCAAAGAGTCAGACTCAACTGAACACACACACACATTTATAAATAAAAGTATTTAATCTCAATAAAAAATAACTCAAAGACTATAATGACCTCTTTTTCTGAAAATTCCACATTTACATCATTCTTCTGAACATTCTTGATCATAAGTGTAATGATTACTTGAGATTCTGTTTGATACCAGTCATACCTATTAAAAAAGAAAAAGGAAACTTAAAACAGAACTTCTGAATTTCTTAAAGTTGTTGCTTCTTTGCTTTGTCAAGATAAAAGTTACAATCTGATGAACAACAAGAGCTCCACCTTGAGGAACAAAATAGCAAAGCAGCTGCTGGCTCACAGAAATAATTTTATGTAACCAATTCCAAATGGCAACCCACTCCAGTATTCATGCCTGGAAAAATCCCGTGGACAGAGGAGCTACAGTCCATGGGGTCACAAAGAATCGGACACGACTGAGTGACTTCACTTCACTTCAGTTTCACATACTAATGGAAGAGAAAATAAGGTAGATGATGCCCCAACTCTCTCCAGTGGATTTAATAATTTACATAATTTTTTAGGTTCTAAAGTATCCCCAACAGTGTTGTGCTTAAGCTAATTTTTTTTCTTTTTGGCCACGCCACGCAGCATGCGGGATCAGTTCCCCAACCAGGGATCAAACCCATGCCCCCTGCAGTGGAAGCTAGGAGTCTTAACCACTGGACCGCCAGGGTATTTTAAGAATAAACAATAAAATTTATTCTAAACAGATCACAGTTCTAATACATCAGCAATAATTTTACCCTCTCATTTCAACCTAATACTAAGAAGTAAACAGTTCTATCCCAATTTTACAAAAACAAAACAAAAAAGGCTCAGAAGGATGAGACAATCAGTTTAAGTCAGTAGCAGGGGATACACTGGACCTGACCCCATATTCTAGGATCTCTACTGAAGCTGGGGGCAAACAGTCCTGAGCAGAGGGAGCAGGAGTAAATGAGCTAAAATTAAAATAATTCAACTCATTTTGTCAGGCACAGTATTAAACACAACATCTACAATCTCAAAGTATGTGGGAAGATTGGTGTGTCAAGAGACTCTAATCATGTGTATCTTTCCCTCTGAAAGCTGGGATCCTCACTTTCAAATCAGACTAGATTAACTCTTATGAGAGAAGAGCTATTGATTTATTCTGCCACTATTACATTCCCAGGATGAAACACGGTGCACTGATATGAGGTATATTTATTAAACCATTGTGGGATTATTTTATATATATTCTATACTCTACAAACACCATATTTATCAAGTTTATGTACCCTGCCTGGGTACATATATTTTATTATATAAAATAATCCCACACTGATTCAATAAACACACCATGTATCAGGGATCCTCACCTGCTACTTACATTCATGATTGTAACTGCTGCCTTCTGCAAGTAACATTCAATGCATGCAGAATTATTCCATGAAAAATTTACTCCAAATATAAAAGGCAGGTAAAGTTACAATATTATCAGGTCTACTACTAACTTACTGACCTATGTAATAACAATAACTTAAATGTAAGAGGTTATTCTCAATATATGGAAAGATGACATAACATGCAACATGTGAAGCAAGTTTTAAGTTAACCTTAATATGAGCACTGATTCAAATTGGTTAATGGACTTACAACTATAGTTTTTCAAGGCTTTAGTAAGATTTATTTTAAAAACTAAGAAATACTTAAATCACAGGTAGGGACTTGCTTACTAATAACAGGGTTTCTTTTCCCTTTAGGCTTATTTATCATGCATTATGAAAAAGAAATCCTTACTTGATTTTTGACTGATGAGTCCTCTGGGATGCAGGCTGATTTGGGCAAATCGAGAGAGAAAGATTTACGAGTTAGTTAAACTGCATATTAAAAATGCATTGTATTATTAATTTACCCAGTGCTATAGTTACTTTGATATGGAATAATTACATGAAAACTTTCTACAAAGCATGATATACATCAATGTTAAATAATACTCATCTTCACAAAAATCAGAATATTCAACATTTTAAAAAATTTTATGAGTTTCCATTTCAAAAATCATTTTTCTTCTAAAATAAAAGCAGCAAAAAAAAGAAAAATTTCAGAAGATATGTTTGGAAAAGATAACAGATAAAATGTCCAGTTCCAAGATTCAGCAACGCTCTAAACTGAAAATAACAGTAACATTTAAAAAACCATTTTCAGGAATGTTAGTATTAACACTTCCAGGCTTAACAATGGCAAAACTGCCCTGGAAAAACCTATGGAGGAGTCCTTCCCCGGTGCCTTCCTGATATGGTCTGACCCTGGTTCATGGTCTCTGCAATAATCTACCTTGACCACTGAGAAACAAAGTGACTCTTTTTAGCCAATTCAAACTTTCCTAAACTATTATTAATAAATCTAAAGGACCTGCCCTGGGTCATTGGTGGCCTCTTAACTTGTTCCTAAGGAAGAAGGGAAGAGACAGCATTTGGAAGAAGAAAATAAGGAAAACTGTCCTAGAGAGATATGGAACTGCCAGAAAGTGCATTCGGAGTACTGTCTCAAATATATTTAATAATAATATAATTAAGTAAAAACACAAAGGATTAAAAACTTTGGACTTACCACCTCAGGCTGTGATCCTATTGAAAACAAAAAAGAAACATTTTCAGATAACAGTACCTGCATAGACAAAATTACATACATGATTTCTAAGGCACAAATATATTATTAAGGAAACCAATTCTCCATGCATATCTAATGAGGGAAAGTGGTTTAATTTTACAGGCTGTAGTCACTTGAGACTCCTCAGTAATTTCTTACCATTGCAAAACAAATCCGTTCAAATCTCCCTTTCAACATAAGGAACCAGGTAAAAAAATCAAAATACCTTTGGAAATCCCAATCTAATAGAACATGCACTACCTAAATTATAAGTTATAAAGTTCAAAACAAAAAAAAATGACAAACACTGACTTCTTTTTAAATTCAAAGACCATGGGAAATCTGCATACTTACCATTCTGAGCTTCTTGACACCTTTTAATCCAAGCAATGAAATCAGCATCTGCACCTAGAAAGAACAAACTATAACAACACTCATCTGCACAACCTAACATACTCACTCAACAAATACTGACTGCATACCTACTAGGTTACAAACACAGTTCTAGAAACTATGGATCTAACAGTAAGTTAGATGAAAACATGTCCTAATAGTGTGTAGCTATCCTTAATATTATAGCTATTAGTTAGGTTTAATATTTATTTTGTTCATCCTGAAGAATTCTGATTTTTAAAAAATCAACTTTAATCAGTCAACCTTATTGGTTCCAAGATACAGATATCTCCATTTGCCCTCACCCTTTCCTCTTTTTTTTTTTTTTTTCAGAGTTCTAGGACTTTTAATTTGTCCCAAAATTGCTGAAGCAAAAATTATGATAAAACATTCTGCTTTCCTTTACACCCCCCAACGCAAAAAAAAAAAAAAACAACTCCGTAGGAAAAAAACAGTTTTGTACATGGGAAGAAACAATATAAATTCGAAACTTACAGATAAGGGTTAGCTCTATCACTCATCTCTTTAAAAAGTTTATACGAATATCCAGTCAACACCAACAGGGTTATCTCCCTTGAAATGTTATCTATACGGATTTCCAAGTAGACCACAGGGCTGTATACTGTCTTGGAATGTCCTCAGAAGGCTCTGTCATTGATCAGGTAACAGAGTAAAAACCCCAGAGTCCTTTCTTTCAAACGGAAGAGGGAGAGACAGGGATAGAAGAAACTATTCAAACTTCGTCTTCTTTCCTTGTGGCTTGTGGTCTCCTCCTCCTCCTCTGCCTCCTCGGAAGCCTCCTCGCCCTCCAAAGCCTCCCCGGCCTCTGCCACCAAATCCACCTCGGCCACCTCTGCCACCACCTCGGCCTCCAAAGCCACCTCTGCCTCCTCCTCGACCACCAAAGCCACCTTCACCCTTAGGTTTGGCCCAGTCTAAAGTGACTTTGTTTCCATCGATTTCACCATCTTCCATGGCCTCCTTGGCAGCTTTGGCATCTTCCTCACTATTGAAGTCTACAAAACCAAACCCTTTGGAGGATCCAGTCTCCCGGTCAGTGACTATCCTTGCTCGAATAGAGCCATCAAACGACTCCTTTAACGTCTCTTCTGTGGTATCCTCAGAGAGACCTTTGACAAACAGAGTTTTGGATGGCTGGCTTCTTGCATTAGGTGATCCCCTGGGTCCTTGCAACTCCAGTCTGATGGCTCTGCCCTCAATTTCCCTTTTATTACATGAATTTAAAGCTTCTTTAGCATCTTCAAATGAAGCAAATTCTATAAATGCATACCCTTTAGATTTGCCATTTTGGTTCTGGGGCACCTTGATATGAGTTGCCTTCTCAAAAACTTCCTGAAGGGTTTCTTCCGTTGCACTACAGGAGAGGTTGCTTAAAACCAGGGTTTTTGATTCACCACTCCAAGTGCTATTCTTTCCCCCTCTATGGTCTTGACTTTGACCTTTCTCTCCGGTGTAGTACAGAGAAATGGATCGCCCATCTATCTCTGTTCCCTGCTTTTCTTCCAAGGTTTTTTCTGCGTCAGCTTCTGTCTTAAATTCAATATAAGCAATCCCTTTACTCTTTCCATCCTTGCTGACTAATCTGATCTCCACAGCATCTTCAAACACTTCTTTTAATTCATCCTGAGTAACTTTGTAAGGCAGATTTTTAGCCAAAAGTGTTCTTGCATCTCGATCTTTCTTACTGTCTTTTCCCTTTCGTTTTTCTAGTTTAATTTCATTGCCAAAGACTTTTAAACCAGTGAGTTCCAAGGCTTTTTCCAGGTCTTCGGCAGATTCAAAATCCACATAGCCAAACTTCCTAGAAACACCAATTCTGACATCAACAACAGCAAGATCATTTTTAGCAAAAAGATCACTGATACCCGTTTTCAATTCAGGAGCAGATTTATTGAAGTTCAGGTTTCCAACAGAGATTGAAAGATGTAGTTGGTTCTGTGCCTTCCACTTTTTGTTTCTTGGCTTCAGGAGCTGCTTTTTGTTTGGCCATTTCCTTCTTTCGTTTTCCAGGTGCTTCTTTGACAGGCTCTTCTTCCTCTTCCTCCTCTTCTTCCTCCTCATCCTCTTCCTCCTCATCGTCGTCCTCCTCTTCATCGTCATCATCGTCTTCATCATCATCCTCTTCATCTTCATCTTCAGCAGCGCTCTTGGCCTTCACAGGAACAGCTTTTACTGGAGCTTTCTTTCCTTTGGCTGGCACAATCTCCATAGGTTCTTCTTCAGAGTCATCTTCGTCCTCCTCATCCTCCTCCTCATCATCATCATCGTCATCATCATCCTCATCCTCGTCATCCTCATCATCTGTGGCAGGAGCAGCACCAAAAGCAGCAGCTGCCTTCCTCACTGCTGGTTCATCCTCCTCTTCATCTTCATCGTCTTCCTCTTCACTGTCATCTTCCTCTTCTTCATCACTGTCTTCCTTCTTGGCATTCTTGCCGTTCTTTGCTCCCTTGCCTGAGGCAGCTGCTCCCTTCTTACCAGAGGTTGCCACCAATGCTTTGCCTGGGGTGGCTCCCTTTTTGCCAGGTGTTACCACTGCTTTGGCAGGTGTAACTGTCTTCTTGGCTGGCATAGCTGCTGCCTTTTTGCCAGGGGTGACAACTGCTTTCTTTGCCGGTGTGGCAACTGCAACCTTTTTTGTTGGGGAAACCATCATCTTCTTTGCTGGAGTCGTGGTAGCCTTCTTGCCTTTTTTCTGAGGGATAACAACCTCTTCTCCACTGCTCTCATCGTCTTCATCTTCTGACATTTCCTCATCTTCACTATCTTCTTCTACCTCCTTTGGGGGAGGAGCCATTTTCTTGGAGTCACCTTGATTTTTACCGGCCGAAGCTCTTCACTTCGCTACCAAGCAGCTAAAAGACGCGAGACCTCCCAGCTAATCGCGCGAGACTTCCCACAGCATGGCGCCCTCAAACGCGCCCGGGACGGCGCGCTCACCCTTTCCTCTTAAAAGAGCTTCCTCTCACACAACAAAATCAGACCTGAATCAGATTCCTAATATGCTGTCAGTTGGGGGAGGAGGGGTCTGCAGACCTGGCAACGAGCAGCTGGGCTGAAGCCTCTGTCCACCTATTTGCTGTCTAATGCAGTTGCTTGTCCTGTCTACTATTTTTTCAGCAGCTTTACTTATGACCATGCCTTCAACACCAAGAAGCATCTTTATATTCTGCAGAGTCCTGTCGTATCTCTAAGTTCCATGACACCCATGACACTACATACAGTGAATCATAGTTGACTGCATAGACAGCAATGCAAACATGTACATAAGCAAATTATTTCTGAAGACTCAGGGCAATGACAGTATGTAAACAAGTCATAGCATCTAATAAAATATAATGTTAAGAAAAATTATTAGAAGTGATCATAATAAAAGTTCACTAATCTAACTGCAGGTACCATTATTCTGAAAAACACAAAGTTTAAAATTTCTTAAAATGAAATTTTCTAATTCATTAATTTACAGACAGAATTCAACTATACAGGCCTTAAAATACATACACATTTTAGAGGTGAACATTTATATAAAAATTCTAAATGTGAAGACTCGATTATTCAAATTAATCAGTAAATAAGCTGATTCCTATCATACAAAGGGGAAAAAAGGTAATATGGAGTTAAAATTTTTTTACCCTAATAAAATGGAAGCTGAACAGTTTAACCTAAGATTTTCCTGGAATTAGAAGATGAATTTGATTTTAAATTAAATATCCTCAACAGAAATTTTACCAAAGAGCAGACACCCTCTTCTGAGGTTACCTCTGAAATAATTCTAGGATAAAAGTCAACAGCATGATAATAAAGTGTCAAGGAAGGAACTTAAGGAGGGAAATTTCTGTTGCTCAAAAGAAGAAGAAACAGGGCTTAGAAATCTAAAGATGAAGTGACTCACGTCTCATCAGCATTTTCAAGCATGTATCAAGGTGCCAAGAAAACTGGACTCTAGAACTTGCAAAGTGTATACATGCTGGCTTGGTAACTGAATAGCCATATTATTCACATACCATGCTTGGGATAACCAAGTTTGAGAGTAACTCCTACTGCCGAGATCTCTTCTTTCCTAATTTGCAGGTTCTGTTTGCAAAGTTGGTCTTGTCACCCTTCTTAAGTAGGTACACAGCAGAAAAGCAAGTATTCAAAGTCATATATATTTTACAGAGAAGGCAATGGCACCCCACTCCAGTACTCTTGCCTGGAAAATCCCATGGACGGAGGAGCCTGGTAGGCTGCAGTCCATGGGGTCGCTAAGAGTCGGACACGACTGAGCGACTTCACTTTCACTTTTCACTTTCATGCACTGGAGAAGGAAATGGCAACCCACACCAGTGTTCTTGCGTGGAGAATCCCAGGGACAGGGGAGTCTGGTGCGCTGCCATCTATGGGGTCGCACAGAGTCAGACATGACCCAAGCAACTTAGCAGCAGCAGTATATATTTTAATGTATAAAGTATAATCATATACGACTTTTGTATGAGGGTTTTCAACCTCAGCACTACTGACATCTGGGACCAGATGCTTCTGTTGTGGGGACTGTCCTGTTCAGGATGTTGAGCAGCATCCCTCACGAGATGTCAATGGTATACTCCCTATCCACCAGTCAGGAGAGTCAAAAATCACTGCAGACACTCCAAACACCCCCCACGGAGGAAAATCATCCCCAGCTAGGAACTACTGCCTTAGAGAATTGTGGTTAACACGCTATCATAAGATGGAGATAAAAATGAGAGAACACAATTAAGACTATGTTGTCCATAATTATCTACGAGATTACTGACACCGTTTTGTATTTTGCAGATTTTTTTTGATACTTGGCTCTTAACAAGTTCTACGTATTGTACATAGATATCCACACTGTTGGGATAATTTTCATCTATTTCTCTCAAAAAGACAGTATTAGAAACTCACAATACTCTCAAAGTTCCATGTTTCTTCGATACCCTATCATACTTTACCCAAACTTACACTTCACCTCCGAATAAAAACCTTTGTTCTAAGATTTCCTTATCTCCGCAATCTGAATAATAACTTAAATAGACTTCACAACGTGAGAGCAAGTTAAACTTACACTTGTCCATTAGGAAAAAATAAAAAGCCAGACCAGTACTGGGAGCACACCTACTGTTTAAATAGTTCTTTTGCTTCTAACGATACAGTTTTTCTGGGATTTAAATGCTAAGAAAGGCCAATTTAATCAAGTTTTAAGTAAACTCAAACTCTGCAATCAACATAAAATGTCATTAAGAGAGAAAAAAGTGTTTCTATAGTTAACTTGAGGTTATACTAACAAGATTCAGCTATGGTATTTAAAATACACAGGTATGATGGACTAGTTTACTAACATATAATTATAATACTTACTATTTAATTTCTGTCCTTCTGTAAAAGTTTCTAGAGCAGCAGCATAGTTTTTTTCATGGTATTCACATATCCTGCATATTAAAAACAACCAGACACATGTAAGATCAGGAAACACAGCTTTCTTTCTCTTAAAAAAAAGTTTCTCTTTTTTTAAAACAATTGAAGCATGTTAACAAGCCAACAGATGTTCTGAAGTACTCGACTGTAGCATCCGTGTGTGTGTCAGTCGCTCAGTGGTGTCTGACTCTGTGACCCCATGAACTGCAGCCCGCCAGGCTCCTCTGACCATGGCAAGAATACTGGAGTGGGTTGCCATTTTCTTCTCTAGGGGATCTTCCTCACCTAGGGACTGAACCCAGGCTCCTGCATTGCAGGCAGATTCTTTATCATCTGAGTCACCAGAGTAACATCTAATTCCCATTAAAAATGTGGAACTCTTTTCAGAAGGAATTTCTTAACTGTACATACTTGCTTATTCCAAAATATAGTTACACTAGGAATTAAAGAAGCTTCTGATTCTTAAAGATTAAAGTTACACTTATTAACAGAAACAAGCTGGGATATAAAGTACACAGACACAGAGTCATCTTGAAGTGTAGTCTGTACAGCTTAGGTGAGAAATAAGATGTTCTCTAGTCAGTTAAACTCAGTAAATTTCAAATGATGACATAAAAAAAGGGATTTGAAATCATTCAGTTTCATCTATACCCTGCAGTTATTTCAATCATCTCTATTTTAAACTATACACACACACAGTGTATCTCATTACATACTGCAGTTAATACAATAAAAGTATAAAATATACCAAAAATTGAATCCTATCTCAGCTATAAAATGTATAAACACAGGGTTTACTATTTACATAAAGTTTACAGGGAGAGTAGGTTCAGGATGAGGGGACCATGTATACCTATAACTGACTCATACTGATGTATGGCAAAAACCATCACAATATTGTAATTATTTTCCAACTAAAATGAATAATTTTTTTTCAAAAAGGGAAAAAAGCTTACAATTAATTCATTTAACCACATAATAGTCCAGACCCAACAAGAAGAGTAGTTACTGCCTACCCCTTTCTCAGCAGAGCAGTGGAACTATTTGGATTAAGTTCAAGGGATTTTTTTGTGTCAGCAACAGCATCTGCAGATGAAAAAGTGGGTTTTTTGGTCAGTTACTTATGGATCCTAAGAAATACTACACACAAAATTTGAATTAGTCTCAGATTTTTAAGTTTTCAAGCTGGTGAAATGGACAAATGACTTGAAAACAGGAAAAGCTAATCTGAGATAAAATTACCCTCATACATTCCTATTGACCTAATCTTCAAGCTCTTCAGGAAATGAATAAAGCTCTGTATCACAAAGTTCAGGTAATTCATTAACATCATTCATGTAGTTTGACTCACGGTATTTAATTTTTCCCTACTCAGGTTATCCAGAATGATTAAAATTACAGAATATAGAATATATTATTTTCATAAAAAAAGGAAGAGAATTCATTCAAATGCTCTGTAAATTAGTAAATGTGATGCTATTTTTTGTTAGCACATCCAGGAACCAAAAATGAAATCTTACAAATTCTACACTCACTGCAGAAAGAATGGACATTGGTAAAATTTAAATGAGTGACACGCAACATAATGCTTTCATATTTTGGCTACTTCACCGTGTATGAAAGATCAAATAACAAGTCCTGGAAGATAACCTCTGTTTTATGTGATTCATTGTATCTTGGGCAAAGTGTGTAAGTTACTTATAGAGACAATATACTTTGTAAGGCAAGTTACCACTGTAATTTCCAAGAAGAATGTGACAATAAGCTCTTTGACAGTAATACTGTGCATCATCTGGTTTCTGCTCCAAAGCCTTAGTCAGCTCCTACAAATACAAACATGCTGAGTGTCAATAAATGTTTTTTAAAAGTCACTGAATTCTAATTAAACATGATCTTTAATAAAATAACCTATTATCACAAGCTATTTGGAAGAAACATAACAGGGAAACAAGCTTGGAGCCTTTCTTTGCAAGAGGATCAATATCCCCCCTTCTCCCCTTGAAAGCCCACAATCGAATGTAATATCTATGCAAAGCACTTAGCAGTTTCCAGCCTACAGTAGGAAATTACTCAATAAATGGTAATTATTATCACCTGATTTATTCTGAAGAGTTTAGTTGATATACATTGACCATCACCGATTTTCTCCTTCTAATTTGGAGAAGATTCAAAGACCATGTAGAATTTAAGATCCCTAGAAAATGTGAAGCTGCCCAATAATTTTTAAGAACTGAAAGTTAAATCTAGAGTTCAGGAGGTTAATGGAACCAATAAATACATAAGTAAGCTTACCTGGCCCTCTCCTATCCTCTTGTCAATGGCCTAGGAAATTACAACATTCTGTCAAAAGCCCAGCCAGATACAGTATCTCATAGGTAGCTACTATCAACCGATCAAGAATTAAAGAACAATTAAAACTTCTGCCACTCTGGGCAGTCATAGTATGTGTTAGCTGGAACAATAACAATGCAAGAAGAGAGCATGATTAGTGAGGCCAGGGACAAAAGGAGGCAAACAGAGAGGCTTTGATTCAACAGCCATTTACCCACACATCTAGGGATTCTGGTAGTTTTCTTAGTTAAGTAAAATTACTTCAATAGTCATACATGAGGCTCTGCTTAAACCCTGTAGTGTGATTCTCACTAACCAATGTGTATTATACTTGGTAATCATATACCTACAACCCAATATACCTAAAATCTAAAGTAATGTTTTACCATCTGAACTCCTATCACCCTGATTCAAGCAGTAATGAAAATTGGATCCTGTTACTAAATCTCTGTTCAAAACTCTCCAAGGCCTTACCAGGTGACTCAGAGCAAAGGCCCAAGTGCTCCAATGATCGGTTAAGGCCCTCCTTTACAGAACCCTCAGCTCTCTGATTTTTTTTTTTTAATTTATTTATTTATTTATTTTTTTATCACAACCATAGTGTATCTTTTTTTTTTTTTTTTTTTACATGTATTCCCCATCCCGGTCCCCCCTCCCACCTCCCTCTCCACCCAATCCCTCTGGGTCTTCCCAGTGCACCAGGCCCGAGCACTTGTCTCATGCACCCAACCTGGGCTGGTGAACGGTTTCACCCTAGATAATATACGTGTTTCAATGCTGTTCTCTTGAAACATCCCACCCTCGCCTTCTCCCAGAGTCCACAAGTCTGTTCTATACATAGGAGTCTCTTTTTCTGTTTTGCACATAAGAACCCTCAGCTCTCTTATCTCATGTCTTTAAAACTCTTTCCCTTGTTCCACAATGGGCTCCTCCTTGTTCCTCAAACATCTCCGGACCCTCCACCCCCTCACTACAGTGTGTGGTGAAAATCCATTCCCTCACATCCTGGTCAGCGACTGTGCCAGAGACAAGATTCAAGTCCAAGTTTGTCTGACTCCAAATCAAATTTTAACCACTATGCACTGCCTCCTGGTAAAATTACTTTACTCCAAGTTTCTTTCACACACCATCTAACATCTGTACTAACTCAACGCTTCCTAATGAAATACTTAAGCTAAAAACACCTTCTTGCACTAAAATTTCAAACAATTTGGAAAACAGCTGATGGCTTACGTAACTACTCCCTAAATCAAATTTCCAACCTCTCCTCACCAAGAACAGGCATACTATAGGTTAAAAAGGCTGTCATATTATAACGACACCTGGTTCATCAATTCAAAAAGTTTTTTTAAACATATATTTTGGAACAAACACAGGCCAGACACTAGAGGTTGACAGATGCATAAAATATTCCTTTTCTTAAGGAGTCAGGTATAAACTTATGAATTTTGAACAACCCACCTGCAAATGACCTGTAAAAACACAAACCAATTGTTGGATAAGAACCAACTAGGGTGATTAGGTTAAATAAGCAACTGACTTACTTTGGTGTTAGTAAAAAAAGTTACCCCAAATCACCCAACACAAACAGAACTTTATAACACACCAACTTGTATTTCATGAATAAAATACAACAATAAATTTTTATTTTGAATAAGGAATATAAAATATAATAAAGCCAAAAAAGGTTAAGTTAAAATAATTGTGCTGTCTGAACTACCTCTGACTTGGGGCATGTTTTCAGTGTTGTTACTGTTCCTGCGACAACAGCTGCTAGTCACTGGCTGCTGACTGAAGGGAGGGATCGCAAAAAGGACTTCAGTGCTGACACTTGAATCACAGCAGCAAAAAGGCTATTTAATGCAGACTTACATGAAACATATACAAAGATACCGTATTTCTCACGAGTTGCTATAGTTGAGCAATTTATAGTTCTCAAAAGTAATGAAATCTATTGAAGTGTAAAATATAATTACACTGAAATCTCTACCAAGATAATGGTAAAGAAAGTTAAGTATCCTGATAACACAGAACTACAGGGGGGAAACTATCTTTTAAGAAATTAACATTGTTAAAAAAAAAAAAAAGAAGGAATTAACATTGTTTAAGATTTGGATCTTGGAAAACTAACTTCCAAATCTTTAGAGCTTTAGGCTCTTTTAAAATGCTAACCAGAAAGGTAACTTATTAAGATTAAAAGCAAAAGCAGACTGCCCAGACTGACCAAATGTCTAAAGGCCGTTAGCTCTAGGTGTCTCATGCTATCTCCACTTTCCACTTTCTTCCAGTCACAGCTAACCCCCAATCATGGATAAATAAGAACACCAAGCCTTCTCCCTCCCTAAAAAGCAGTGCTGGAAAAACATCACATAATCATGTAGAACTGGTATGTTTTATTCCAACCTGCTATGCCCTCAACAAAGCTATCTGTGGTCAGCTACTTCAAAGTCAGCTCACAAACACTTAATTATATCATACACCTCAATCCTACCCACTCCTCCAGAGGACCAGCTTCATGCCCTGAACCCAAACTCGATAACCTAAGTTCATCTCTTTAGCCTCAGCTTCCTTGTTAGTAAAATGCACTGCACAGCTGTTCCAAGAATTACAGCAGGAATCATTTAATACATCTGAGTGCCTACCACATCGCAGGCACTACACTTAGAACACAGTGGTAACCAGATACACGAAACCGCAGCTCCCCTGAAGCTTACACTGGGGCCTCATTCAGATAAAGTAGTCAGAAAAGACAGCTTCCTTGAGAAGGTGACATTTCAGATGAAATCTAAAGTGCCTGGCATTTCCAACAAAACAATAAATAGTCTATAGAGAGGACATTCTAAGCAAAAGAACTGCTGCAAGTCCAAAGGCCCTGCACGAGGGCTGAGTCCGACACACCTGAGTAACAAAAAGAGAGCAAGTGGGGTGAGAACTTAGAGAGCAAAGACTCTCCAAGATGCCTACCTCAAGGGCCTCACTCTTGGACCTTACATTACTTGTCATTATAATCATCCTTTCCAGTGGTCCCAGTCAGTCCCATTTTACGGACAGGAAGTCTGATCAAGAAGACAGCCGGAACTATCCTGAGACCAAGATATGGTAGACCCAAGCAGTCTGATTCCAGAGCCAATGCTCTTATGCACCACTCATATTGGGAGTCAAAAGATCCTTATAATCCACATAAGCGTTTTCTCTCTCTGCTGAATTGAGACTTCCTCTACAAAGATATTTTACTTCCCCAGTTGGCCTCTATTCTGCTGTAGCTTATACACCACTCCACTAGAGCATTTATCTTATATTCTAATGACCTGTTGACTTAACTCTCTCTCTTCTAGACTACAAACTCCCTCACTACAGTATTTTCATCTTTAGATTGCTGGCTCCCAGTACAGCCTTCTACACTAATATACATTGTTTGTTTAATGAAACATGTAATCAGCTGATGTACTTTCTCTTTATTCTTAATAGGATGGTGTTATATAAAAATGTGACACTTTAACTGCTAAAATATCTAGTGACCTTAATTTCGAAACAATTACTTTAAGCCAGCCCTTGGGAAAAGCGAGGGGGAAACTGACTCTTCTCATAAAGGTTCCGGCCCTACTCATTATTACCAATTATCGAGGAATTAACATTCACCTGTTTAACCCAGTGAGAAGATCGTCTCAAGATTTAAAAAGGACATTTCCTCTTAACACAGGCTGGTTCTTACCATGACCATCCTCCTCACTCTGGGTTTCTGACTCAGGTCCGTGGCAGGTCCTGAGAATTCACATTTCTAACAAATTCCCAGGTGATGCTTCTGCGGAGGGTCTGGGATAACACTTTCGGAAACCACCACAGCACTAGACTAAGAGCAGGAAACTCCTGTCCTCAGGCCCCTATTCTGCCTCTACCTGGCTGTACACATCTCTGTGACGGATCACCGGGATTTCCTTGGGTCTGTTTCCTTCTGTAAAAAGGAAGGGTAAGGCGTACTGGCCTACAGAAGCCATAAGTACATTCAGAAAATCTGCAGTGGGGAATTCCCTGGCAGTCCTCACTTCCACTGCAGCAGGGATGGGTTACATTCCTGCCTGGGGAACTAAGATGCCACATCACGTAGTGCCCCTCCGCCAAAAAAAAAAAAAAAAGAGGAAAGAAAAAGAAAATGTGAGGGAGGGGGCATCCAAGAATTTGCATTTCTAAGGAATTTCTAAGTGATGCGAACGCTGCTGGTCCAAGAATCACACTTTAAGGACAAATGTACTAAAGCTAACCACACCTACACTATGCAATTTCACTCCCAGAAAGAAAAAAAAAAATTGCACCCTCGAAAGTAGTGCATGTATGTTCAGCAAAATACATGTATAAGAAAATCCACAGTGGTTTTATTCATATTAACAACTAGAAATATCCCAAATGTCCACTGTTAAACAGTGCTATATTAATACAGTGGAATACTACACAGCAATGAAAAAGAATTATCCCTTCCTACAAACTTATGGATGTACCTCACATAAAGTTTAAAGCAAGACAGAGTAGCTACACTCAACTAAGTATGATGCTGTTTGATACCGTATGATACTGTTTGTATGAAGTCCAAGGAAAACTAACTGATGGTGATGTAGTTCAGAACAGATGGGTAAGAGGAATTATTGGCTGGGAAGAAACTTTAGATTTGTGTTACATATCACACGTCAATACATAATTTTATAAGTAAAATAAGTCAGATGTAAAATGACAATCCATTATATTAATATTTTTTAATAGCAACTATTATATAAACTAGATTTCCAAAGGAGGCACAAGGCCTAAGAGGACCATACAAATGTAGACTCTGAAAACAGCTGAAATAAGGAACTGTAGAGAAAAATTCTCAGTACCTCTGGTAACATTATTCTAACAGTGACCTCAGAAGAATCACTAGGAAAAAATCCCACAGGAGTAATCAACCGCTTCATTTTAAGGTCTTCATATCCCAACCCCCCCCAAAACATAGTCCAAGCTACAGATAAAAGGCACCAATGGATTCGGCCTTGGCTTCCTCTCCCCCTCCTCTCTCACTCCGTGCATCCCACCCTAACCAAACGGGCTTTCTCGCTGCTCCCTGGGCAGGCCAACTTCACTCCCACTTCAGGATCTTGACACTGGCTCCTCTTCCTGCCTGAAATAATCCTTCCGCAGAGCTTCCAAGCTCGCTCCCTCGTGCCTCTCCTGAAATGTCACCTCCTCTGCTAACCATGAGTCAATTTCTTTCAGAAGTCACAGCCAAGAGAAAGATTCTCTTGCCTCAAATTCCTAACCTTACATATGTTAGATGAGAAGAGCAAAACAAAGTCTCCTCTCTTTTTAAGCTTCAAAACAAGAAACCCCTGGCTAATTTTGAGACCCACCTGCCTCACGTATTCTTAGCTTGGGCTCTCTGATTTACTTCAAATTATTACTTAACTCACTCTTTTGCTTTCCTTTACAGCTTTATAGTCTTTCACTGCACACAAAGTGCTTTATAAGTCATTTAACTGTATAAATTAAGACTTTAATCCATAGCAACCAGTGCCTTCCACACAGCAGCCCCACCCCCCGCCAAGAAATTGTTTTGAGAAACGAAACAAATGAGTGAATAATGAAGAGAAACAGGGACGCCTGGAAATTTTCAGGCACACAAGGGGAAAAGGTTTCTGTCCTAGTGGTGTGAGTTCAGACAGGCCCTCAGGACACAACCGGGTACATAAAAATAATCAAGGATGATCGCCAAACGAAAATCCGAATGAACAAACATCGAACCGAGATTTCACTTTTTGTTCTAGTCACAAATGCCATTAAAAAAAAAAAAAAAAAAAACAACACAAGTCCCTTGAGGCCCACGATGCAGGATCCCTAAGACAGAAGAAGGTTACGCTAAGGAGCTCCAAGGATGCATAAAGGGACCAGGGGTGGGAAAGGGACCCGACGAAGGATCCAATGTAACCAGGCCGCCGCGGGGAAGAAAAAGGAGGGGCGGAGGCTGTCAACATCGGGGCTGACCCGCACAAGCAGCAGCGGCCCCGACCCCCGGAAGACAAGAGCCGGGAGGAACCCGACGCGGCCGCCTGCCCCGGGGCACAGGCTGTCTCACCTCTAACGCCGCCTGGGGGTCCTGCTCGATGAGGGCATCTGAGAAGCTCCGGAACAACCTGCCAGGAAAAGAAGGGCTTCAAGCAAGGCTCACGAACCAAAGAAAGGGGCGAGGTGGGGGGATGCCAATTACACCAAAGAGAAGGAAAAACGCGCACCTCGCGGCAGCCGCAGGACCCGCCGCCGCCGCCGCCGCCGCCGCCATCTCTAATCGTCACGGTTCCTGCTGCCGGAGCTGCTCTTCCCGGGGTTACCAGCGCCGCCGCCGCCGCCCAAGGGGGAAACTTCTGGAGAATCACCCACCGAGCTTCCGTCTTAAGTAGCCAACGAGCAGCCGCGCAGCGTGCTGAGGGGAGGGGGGAGGGGAGGCGAAATGTGGGCGCGGGGCGGGCTGGGACCGTGGAGGACCGACTCTCCGGACCCCGCCCCCCCGGCCGCTGACCGGCTTCGCAGGCCCCGCCCCACCGCAGCCATGGTTACGGAGGCCGCGGCGGGCCACGCTCGCCCTCCGTCCTAGTGCGCGCGTACACTACGCGAGAGCCTCCGGGCGCGGTAACTCAGTAGGACCCTTGTACCGTACAGTTACCCCTCAGGAACGTGTGGCGTTTGGGAGACGTTTGTACGTCTGTCAGTAACGCACGGCACATTGAGCTCCATTTTCCCCTACGGCTCTCATCATGGCTCCCCAGAGGCAGCCAAGACTTTCGCGACCCGTGACGCTCTCGGCTACGTGTTCTTTTCCGGGAGCCACTTCCGGAGGGCGGCCCGTTGACGCCGGGATCCTGGCGCCGGGAGGCCTGAGGGCCTCAAGCTCGCCGGGAGTCGCTCTTCCCTCGCAGTAGCTAGACTGGAGTTACGCCTTTTTGGTTCCGGTTCGGGCGGACCGCTTGGTTCCCCAGAACTTCACAGGCCGAGACTTTCTCCCCACTTGGCTTCCCAGATACAAGGAAAACGTGTTCCATCCGAAAGCGCTGAAGGGAGAAAGGGAGCCTGAAGTTTGTCCCAGTACCGCTCTACTTTCCACTCAGCGGGTCCGGCCCTCCTCTCTCAGTACCCCTCGACCCATGCAATTCCAATGGAAGAAACTTAGAGCTAATTCCACCAAGGCGGCAGCCGGGGAGCAGGAAGGCGTGGGAGTGAGCCGCCCATTAGTAGAGACGAACAAGGAGCTGAACTGGAGTGTCTGCTCCATCCGAAATCTAAGCTTAAAGTCCGGGGATTCAGTGGTGTTAACACCCTCCAATTGTGTTCTAAAGGCTAAAAATGAAAGGGCAGTAGTCATTGATGTGATAGCAAGAAGGGACACAACTGAATATAATGTATACGGATGGAGTCCTCACAGGTTGTAACTGAGCCTCAGTCTGGCAAGAAGACTTAGTGAAGGAAAGGGAAAAAGCAGTTTAGACTGAATAGGACGCGTGTTAGAAAGTGATGATGTGAACTCAAATTGTAGAGCCAAAATTCAAGCTAGAAGCAGACTGGGTGGAGAGGTAGGTACATGTTAGGTCATAAGGACTAAGTGTACTCCGCTGAGAAGTTTGAATGGAATTCACTTAAAGATGCTAAACCTATAGGATTTTCACCTGAAAAGGGCATTGACGTTTAAATTTACATTTTTGTTTGTTGTTCTGTCTGTACTGTAGAAGACACAACGACTGGACAACAATAGAAGAAGGATTGAAGGGAACAGAACAGTTGTTGGGAGACAACCGCTCTACTACAGGCCAATGTGTGCTCACTGCTCGGCGGCGTTTGACTGTTTATGTCGCCAGGGACTGTGGACGTCCAGGCTCCTCTGTCCATGAGATTTCCCAGGCAAGGATACTGGAGTGGGTTGTCACTTCCTTCTCCAAAGGATCTTCCCCACCCAGGGATCGAACCCAGGGCTCCTACATTGGGAGGTGGATTCTTTACCCCTGAACCAAAGTGTCTCTTAAGGTCACTGATTGTAGGGGATAGTGAGAATTACAGAAATAATTGAAGTAAAACTGTCTGGATTTGCTGATTTTTCTTTTGTGATCAATACTCTTTGTATCATACATAAGGCTTTGCCTGCTTCAAAACCATTAAATTAGTCACCTGTGTTTTCTTAAATGCTTTACATTTTTATCTTTCACGGCCAGACTTATTCATGTTTATAAAAGGTGGGAAGTCAGGATCGAGATTCCTCCTCCCCCCACCCCTATGGATATCCAATTGACCCAGACCTATTTACTGAAAAGACTATCATTTGCTCTTTCCCCCAGTAAATAATTATGGCACAGTTGTAAAAAGTAGATAACCAGATATACAAGGGTCTATTTCCAGGTTCTCATTTCATTGGTCTGCCTAAACGTGTTCCACACTATCTTAATTAATGTAGCTTTATAAGTCTTAAGGAGCCCTGTAACTTTTTCAGTATTGCCATGGTACTCTTGGCTAGTCAAAATCCTTTGTATTCACATTATTTTATACATTTTATAAAACTTATTTCCATTTGTTTATAAATTTTAGAATGAACCTGTCAATTTCCAAAAAACAGTTATAAAAACTCTACTAGGATTTTAACTGGGCTTACATTGGATCTATAGGTCAGTTTATTTGGGGAAAACTGACATCCTAGTATTTTTTTAAATTGAAATATAGTTAATTATGGCGTCATGTTACTTTTTTTGTACACGGGTGATTCAGATAGATAGCTATTCCTTTTCATATTTTTTCCATTATAGTTGAGTACAAGGTATTGAATACAGTACCCTGTGCTGCACAAGCAGTTTGCTTTATATATATAGTAGTTTGGATCTGCTAATTTTTCCCTCCTCCACTTTCCTCTTTGGTAACCATAAGTTTGTTTTCTATGTCTGTCGTGTCTGCTTTTTAAATAAGGTCATTTGTATCATATATTAGATTCCACATATAAGTTATACCATATGATATTTGTCTTTGCTTGACTTCACTTAATACGGTAATCGATCTATCCATTTTGCCACAAAAAAAATGGCATTATTTCATTCTCTTTTATGGCTGAGTAGCATTCTATTGTATATCTATATACCACATCTTCTTTATCTATTGATCTGTCAATGGACATTTTGGTTGCCTCCATTTTTTTTTCTGACATCTTTGTATTTCCTCCAATCCATGAATGTAATATACATCTCCATTTATTTAAGTAGTCTTTAAGTTCTCTTGGCAGTGTTTTGTAGATTACAGTGGAGAGGTCTTACATATCTTACATTAGATTTATTCGTGGGTATTTAGGTTTTTTATGCCTTTTAAATGGCATTTTATATTCTACTTGTTTGTTGCTAGTATTTGTTGAAACACTGCTGATTTTTACATATTGACTTTATAGTCAACAATCGTGCTAAGTTCATTTATTATTTCTTATATATAATTTCCCTTATTATATAATATTTTGTAGATTCTTTTAGAATTTCTGTTATTTCACTGTCTTGTCATCTGTGAATAGATGGGTAAACGTCCTCCTGTGCAGTCATTATACCTTTTATTTTTCTTGCTGGTTGTCACTGGTTTGGATGTCTACTATAGTGCTAAATAGAAGTAGTGATGATGGACTTCCTGTCCTGGTTGTAACACTTAGGAAGAAAGCATTCAATATTAAATGATTTTTCTGCCTTTATTGAAATGTCCATGTGTATTTTTCTTTAGTATGTTAGTGTTAATTAGTTTGGTTGCTTTTCAGATGTTCTCTAAATGGCCTATGTGCATATGAAAAGAAGTTCTACATCAATAGCTGTATCAAGGGACAGTAAAATAATTTGGTACTAAACACTCCTATCAAAATGGCTTAAATTAAAAGGAGTTCCAGTGCCAAGCACTGACAAGGATATGGAGCACCTATAACTTTCATATATTGCTAGTAAGAGTGTAAATTGGTATTGCTACTTTAGAAAACTTTGACACTATCTACTAAAGCTAGTCATATATATACCATCCTGCCCAAGAATTCTACCAGTAGTCATATGCCCAAGAGAAAAGAATACTTACATTCATGTACAAAAATACTGATTGTAGCATTACCAACAAAAGCTGGAAATAATCTAAATGTTCTTTCACAAAAGAAAAATACTACAGAGCAAAGACTAAAAATAAATTATCAGTACACGCAACAATATGGATGAACCTCACACACATAATATTGAGTTAAAGAAGCCAGACAGAGTACATCCTGGTTGAGTCCCATTTTTATGAAGAGAAGAAACATTGTGAGGGATATCAGAGAATGATCTCCTGGGAAGGGCCATGAGAATGACTTCTTCTTGATGTGGGAAATGTTATATATCTTAACTAGGGTGATAATTACATTAATGATGCAGGAGACCCAGGTTCAATCCCTGAGTCAGGAAGATCCCCTGCAGAAGGGAATGGCTATCTACTCCAGTATTCTTGCCTGGAGAATTTTATGGATAGAGGACCCTGGTAGGCCACAGTCTATAGGGTTGCAAAGAGTCAGACACAACTGAGTGACTTTCATTCAGGTGTCAAATTTTTCGAGTTACACATCTGTGGCAGAAAGTGAAGAAGAACTAAAAAGCCTCTTGATGAAAGTGAAAGAGGAGAGTGAAAAAGTTGGCTTAAAGCTCAACATTCAGAAAACTAAGATCATGACATCTGGTCCCATCACTTCATGGCAAATAGATGGGGAAACAGTGGAAACAGTGGCTGAGTTTATTTTGGGGGGCTCCAAAATCACTGCAGATGGTAACTGCAGCCATGAAATTAAAAGATGCTTACTCCTTGGAAGGAAAGTTATGGCCAACCTAGATAGCATATTAAAAAGCAGAGACATTACTTTGCCAACAAAGGTCCATCTAGTCAAGGCTATGGTTTTTCTAGTAGTCATGTATGGATGTGAGAGTTGGACTATGAAGAAAGCTGAGCACAGAAGAATTGATGCTTTTGAACTGTGGTATTGGAGAAGACTCTTGAGAGTCCCTTGGTCTACAAGGAGACCCAACCAGTCCATCCTAAAGGAAATCAATCCTGGGTGTTCATTGGAAGGACTGATGTTGAAGCTGAGACTGCAATATTTTGGCCACCTGATGTGAAGAGCTGACTCATTGGAAAAGACCCTGATATTGGGAAAGATTGAGGACAGGAGGAGAAGGGGACGACAGAGGACGAGATGGTTGGATGGCATGACTGAATGGACATGAGTTTGGGTAAACTCTGGGAGTTGGTGATGGACAGGGAGGCCTGGTG